TGCGGCTAGCACGGTGAACAGGCGTAACCACCGGTATGGGGCTGGAGCTTCTTGTACTGGGAGGGGTTCGGTGCATAGGGTACCCCGCACCTCCACCAGTTGTCACGCGATAAGAGCTCGAAGGAACGTACAAAGGGACGCGACTATCAAAAATGTCAGAGACAAGGAAGGGCGTCTCCGCTGGCACGGGTTGCTCGTCTTCGTCTTCCTCGTTCACCGGCACAGAACTGACCCACTGTTCACTGGCACAGAACACCAGGTGGCAATATCAACTATGCGATGACTTCTTTTATTACTCTAGCAGTGAAAAGGCACTAAAACACTCACAACTCTTTGTAATCACTACTTCTGCAACATTTCATCAGCCCTCACCATTTCGAGCTTGTTTTTGTTGCAGGTTCTCACTAATATATTGAGATTTTCGAAAAAAAAAAATTGGTCGATAAACAGCATTCCCAAGAGGCTGTTATAAAACTGGGAACATAAGAAGTAGCACTAAACAATATAAACGTGGTTTCTACTGTGTTGGTTGTGAGGACAACTTTAGTACAAGTGAAGCAAGCACTGTTTTTGTTACCCCCCGAGTTTTTTGCCTCACTTGCAATAAAGCTTATTAAGGGGGGACGCGGCTTTGGGATCGCGAAAAATGGCAAAAAAATCGATTTTTTTAAACTCAAGTTTTCAGTTTCTGGAACCCTTTTTCTATCTGGTTCTAAAATATCTACACTGAAAACCGCGCAGAAGTGCTTCGGAAAATTCGTTTCACCCACCTAGGTAGCAAAAATATTTCTGGAAATGGCGAGAAAACGGCGATTTTCAAAAAATAATAGCTTCGCTATGCTTGGGCCGGGAGCCGGCTTCTTGGGCTCATCGGAAAGAGCATTTTTCAGTGTTTAACTTTCCCGCCTCAGCTGGCTCCTCCCTTTAACAACAAGCGAGCAAAAAGCAAATGTTTGAAGGTCGTTTTGAGGCCTTTGATTGGCCGTGGCCGCCATGTTGCCTCAGCTCGCCTCGCCATTGGCCCGATGCTCGCTCCGGGAGATCGTCGTCTGCTCCTTGCGCGTCGCGAGGACATGGCTCTTGAAAATCGCCACTTCGTGACGTGTTCACGGCTTGATAATCACTTAAGATATAACTACGCTTTAGTTACGAGCAGTAAGCGGATGCGCGATCAGGTTACTACGAGCGTCAGCGCGGTCTACGAGCGCCGCGCGTCATTGAAGTCGTCTTTAGCCCTAACTCCGCCGACTGCGGGCAGGAACGACCCGCTAGCGCATTCGTGGCGACGTGTTTCTTCGCAAGCAACGAAGCTGTAAGCGGCGGCACGATCTGATTACTACGAGTGGCCGCACCGGATGCACGATCAGATTACTACGAGCGGGCGCGCGGCGGTCTACGAGTGCGGCGCGTCATCAGAGTCGGCTTTAGGCCTAACTCCGCTGACAGCGAGACTGCGGGCAGGAACGACGCGCAAGCGCACTCTTGGTGACGTGCTTCTTCGCAAGGAATGTACCACATCACTCGCTAGCTCCTCCGAATATTGTACGGGCATTTTACGCATCGGCAGCGGACAACACAGTCAAGCTCGTCACCCCCCCCCCCCCCCTTCACTGCCAAGGATCGCTCGGAACAGCGGCTAGCAGTTTCGCGCGTCGTCATTCGAAAATGCGATGCCAAGTGCAGTGCGTGCCGATTTTTTTGTCTTCGTAGTTACTCATTTCGCGGATCGTCATCGAACGCCACCGGCAAGTGCATTACGCGCCGGCTGCACTGTCCACGCGGCCGCGCACCCCACGGTCATATGGAGTGTAAACTTTTGTGATGCGATTCAGACGTGCTTGGAGCCGTGCTTGATATCTCCACGAACGTCTATGAATGTTCCGAGGTTAATGAATTGCTGTAGATTAGACTTTCCGCGATCGGCTGTATGATGATGCGTTTTACAGCAAGAGCGGCGAAAGAGCATGTGTGAATCAGGGGCACGAATTTTTATACGCCCGTTTCGTGTCATTAATTATAGTGCTAGAAATTCCGGTGCCACCAGTCTTCTGCCCATAACTTTGTTATTTAGAAAGAAGGCATAGGCCGTCATGGTGTGATCCATTTTTCTGATGCAATAAACCTCTCTCCAAATAAAAAAAAGTTCAGTGAATATTTGTAATCAAGTACTTAATTACGCTAATTACAACTCCAGCACAAAAAAAGTGTGTAATAATTTCAGAATATGGTTTTATTCAATTACAATCTTTTCTGTGATACTTATCACACCACTCTTTCATACAAAGAACTTGGTTTGAAATTCATACTTGTTCTTTGTAACTCATGAAAAGGAGTAAATCATGAAAAGAAGTCAAATATCACAAGACAAACCTGAGATCACAATTTTTAGGTGTCTTAGAGACGTAAAGAAAAGTTGAAACTTTAAACGCAGCTTTCTCAATACCGTTTTTTTTTTTTTTTTGACATTATGCTCAGCCCCTCCACATGGTTCAGTGAAGAAATAATTTGTTTCTCGTAAAGTATTTGTGGTATCGCTTCAAAATTTTTATGAAAGCACTGTGAGGTTATTCTTAGTGTCTGTGACAATTTTCATCAATATCCAACGAGAAACAAAAAAGTTCATTGAAAAAAAGCCTGTCGAAAACTTCGACAGGCTTTTTCTCACAAGTGTGTTTTGGACATTGTGCATTGCTCGTGGAAAGAGTAGCACGAGAATGACTGGACCGATTTTGATTTTGTTTTTTTCCCTGAATCCCTGAACACTGCTTGTGGGTACAGCAATCTTCAATTTCTGTTTTGTGGCCCTGTTATTTTTCTAGACGATGATTTGTCCGTGCCATGGTTTCTGACAATGTGTGTCGGCAGCCATGATGATCTCTAAAAAAAAAAACGAGAACTTATTAAAAAATTCCGAGAGTGTCATACCCTGTAGCTTTCTTTTGAGTAAATATCAACATCATTCGCAGCTTCCTGGCATGTTTTGTTGCAGCGCTAGGCTTTCCACGAGCAGACCATGTAATTGGATCGTGTAGCATTATGTAACTTGAGAACTACTGAAGCTATCATGATGAAACTGCATATTTCCCTATTCTAGACACTTATGAGTATGCATGCCAAATTTCATTGCTGTAGGTCAACAAATAAAAAAGTTTTTTTTCAAAGCCACCTCCCCCCTTAAGACGCATTATGCACTAACTGGCCCATCAATGTAGCCTGCTTATCCATAATGCTCGTAGATCTAACGACCACTTCTTTAATGACTTTTATTAGTTGAATGCAGTCATCATAAAATATCTTGAAAACGTAACATGTTCACTCCACACTGGTGCAAAACAATATGTCTCAGCCACCAAGTTACATATTTTGTATAACTATTGTGGGGTCCCGAAATAAAGAGAGCGAGAGCACCATGCTCTTAGAGTGAACAGACACAGTAGACGCGGTTGGAACGAGCCAAGCCAACAACACATTTATTTACCTACATTTTGAACGACGATATCGTCAGCCAAATTATTGTAACATCATAAATTGTGATCCACACGCTAAACAACCTTACACAATATTACTCAACACTCAACAGCATGAATGCAATAACACACATAAGGCTGCTTTGCCAACGCTTGACTCACCACATGAGCTCACCGCAGATGGCCCACGGTGTCCTCCACGGCAGACCCACCGCTGGGTTGAGGAGATGTGAGGGTGCTGACACCCCCTGTAAAGTTGTTTGCGCCGCATGACGCACGTGTCTCGCCCAAAAGCCGAATTTCGAGTTACAATTACCGGGCGGTAGGTGGAGTTGTGTTCGCGCTGATTATCATCACCATGGTGTAGCGCCAGCGGTGCCCCTGGCAGAAGGCAAGCCTTGGTGGTGGGCGAGAGTTGAGCGAGTCTTTTTCGCGCGTGGCGGTTGTCGCGAACGGTTGTCTCTAGCGTGGGTCCTTGGCACGTGGCACCGCGGGCTGTGCGTCGTGGGCCCTCGTCGTAAGTAAAGCGTTGGAGATGCCGCCTTGGGTGTGCTATTGTGTGTATGCCATGTTATTGTCCGTTTGTCGTGTTGTGTTTGTCATGGAGTGGATGGCCTATCGTGTTGATAACGATTGATGTATCGATTCAGCGGACGATATCGTCGTTTTAAATTAGTCAAATAAATGTATGTTGTTGTTTGGTTTGTACAGACTGTGTCTGCTATGCCCTTTCACTCCAAGAGCGTGGCATGGTGCTCACCAATTCGAGACCCCACAATGGATGAACCAGTTTTTGGGACTTTCAAGTGCCATTTAAAAATGAAAATTCCTTTAGAGTTGTGAGAAGAATGCTCGATTCTCCCACTATCATTCACAATCTTTGCATTTCCACCAAGACCTAGTATGCCTAGGCCAGTTGTCAGCTCCTTCAATAAAACAGTTGCAGTTGTTGCTGATCTAAAGTGAATAGCAACAGCATAAGTTTTTTTTTTGTTCTTATGACAGTGTCTAGATAAATATCTATCACGAGTCACCAGAAAAGACAAATCCAGTCATCACACAGTGCACTCTTGATCACATCTGAGCCCAATCAGGATCCAGTTTGATCTCTTGTGATTAGCAAGCTATATAAAGCAGCTTAACACAGTAAAGATATTTAACACAAAATAAATTTGATCTCAATCAAAAGTGCTTGTGTGACACGAGTACAAGACTCGCAGATGAGTCAACAGCAAAAAATATCTTGACCTGCACTATACTTAATATAGAAATATGCTAAAACCTCGATATAACAAACCTGAATATAATGAAATATTGGTTATGATGACATGAATAGGCTTGCAATAGATGGTGTCAGGAATATACACATATAACAAATTTTTGGATAAAACAAACTTATTTTGGTGTAAAATTCAATTTCGTTATAATGATGCTTGAGTGTATTTTGAGATGTCAGGACAGCTTTTTCAGATTTCAATGTTGGATCGAAAATTATGGGATCAAAAAGAGAAACCAACCATGATGCGTTCCACAGCTGTTTTTTGTTGCTTGACTTCGGCCAGGACATGCCTGTGACTGTCAAGTTGATCTTTGATCATGCTTTGACTGGCCTCCTGCATCTGCTGAAGCTGGCTCATAGCCAGCTCCTGGTGTAGCAACAGGGATTTCAGCCGCAGCTCCAAAATTTGGCTGGCAAAGGCAGGTGCGTCTGCAGTGGCATCTGCGTTTTGCTTTGGTGGTGGTGTCTCAGGGGTTGCCTGCAGTGGGTGGGCAAGATAATCTAATGAATCGACTGAGCAGGGTGCTTTGCTACATGAATCTACAATTCACACAAATACAATCTAAGGGTGTGCTATTTATAACAACACAAAGCTTGGTGTAGTGCACTGCAGCTATAAAAACAGGATGAGCCTAAACGTTGCGACTTATTTGAAGGATCGATTTCTCAACATATCCACAGTGTAAAACCTTGAAACTTCATTGGGTAGCATTGTTCATGGGCGTCGAGGAGTTTACAACAAAGAATGATCACATTGCACACCCAGTTTTGCAGCACTCAAAAGGTGTTTTTGCTCGGGCCACTTTTACTGCTTACATGTTATTTAGGTTTACAGCAGAGCACAAAGGCTTGTGATAGGCAGTGGCATAGACTGATATTCGTTTCAAGGTTGGGGGGGGGGGGGATTGTCCTTGATTTGATGTGTGGTACAGGCAGGAAAGTGTGGTCAGCGTCATTTTGCGCTCCCTATACCATGGCGTAAAAAAAAAAAAATTTTCAATGGGGAGGGGGGGGGGGGGCATAGGCATGTTGTGCTACTGGTAATAGGTGTAACATTTGTCTTTCCTTTCTTTTCTTTTTTTTTTTTCCTCATGTGCCAAGATTCTAGAGTCAACTTCTGCATTTTATGCACAGCTGCGGCGTATCAGGCAATAGAGAGAGAGATCAGAAAAGCCTTATTACCAGTTGGCAAACAAGAAAATTTGGCAGTTGTCACAGTTATTGGCATAGCTGTACTGCACTTCTCCACCAAGAATTGGGCATTTGTATGACAATCGATCTTGTGGCTATGGGCACATATTCATTTTCCTGGCAAAGTGCTCATTACTCATTGTACCCAAGATGCTTACCTCTGGAGCAGGGAACTCTCTTGGTGGTGTGCACCTTGGGTAGAAGCTTTTGTCCGGCTTGGGGGTGCTGCTGCGACGCCATTGTGCAGAGCTAATCTTGGGGTAGGGCAAATGAGGAGGGAAACCATTCTGTCCACCGCTTGACAGTTCATCATCACTGTCATCAGAGCAGCCACCTGCAAAATTACACAATCATCATTGTAAGCCTACTGATCCTCACAGTTAGTACATGATTTAAGGTGAAAAACCAGCAAAAGACATAATGTATGCAAGAAGATGACATGACAAGGGTCTGATTGTTTCCTTGCTTGTGTATGTTGTGTTTATGGTTGTAAATTCCCATTTATTCAAGATAATAAACGTCATGAATTGTGGAATGCTCTATAAAACAATATAGCACATTGTAATCACTATCACAGTGCTATGAGCATCTATCAGTGCAAGATAGCCCAAGAAGGGAGGAAGTTTGGCAAGTTGGTAGTTGATCATACCGCAGAAGCCATCGCGCAAAGTTGTGTAAAGTTAGCACTTGTGCTTTCTTCATCCTGTCCACCATTCTTTTGTTTGTGTGTGTGTGTGTGTGTGTGTGTGTGTGTGTGTGTGTGTGTGTGTGTGTGTGTGTGTGTGTGCATGCACACTGTGATTTCTGTAGTATTCCCCCAAAAGCTGGCTTCTTCACATGGTAGGGGCGTTTCTCACACATATCAGGAGAGTGAGAGGTGCAACTAGAGAGACCCCCGCTGCATGGACCGAGTAGAAACGACTGCTTGCCACTACTATGTGCTTTGCCCTCGTTGTGATGCCTATCGGCACGTCAACTGCAACCACTGTTCATTTTTCCTTGATTTTCCACTCCCTTCTTTAATGTGACAGCTAAGCTGAATATTGCCAACATACCCAGCTACTAAACACACACACAAAAAAAATAATAGCTAAAATAAAAATTCTCCCATACTGCTGTAACATCATTCTAAAACAATTCCGTAAGCCAACTTGTCCACCGAAATTTCCACAAAATATACGGTGAACTATCCAAGGGTTTGTTTAGAATTGGACAATATGTCAAAGTAATTCCCATTTTTTTTGCGAGTTTATTATATATACGTGTCTGACTATACTACTCACTGGTGAAACTGGTGTGCCTCATGCGCTCTTGTAGGTCGTCCAAAAGAGCAGAAACACTGGTCGCCAAGGTCCAGTCAGATTCATGGCAGCTACGCTCCAGCGCAAGTTTTAGTGCCACCTGTTCCTTTCGCTGCAAGGCGTACTGTGCGCTTCGATGGGGAGATTCGTGCTCAGCCATCTTCTCCATCACCTGTCATCACCGCACACACTATGAAGATAAATTCTGGGGTCTTATATTCTGAAACGACATTATAAGTACGGGACATGCCATAACAGTGCGTTTTGGATGGATTCTGACCCTTGGGGTTTCTTGACCTGTTTTTGGGCCTTGTCAATGCATTTCTAGTAAGTACGGTCAATAAACACGGTTAAGGATGAGCTTGGCTTGTCAGCAGCACTTCCTTTCTTGCACTACAAGTAAAAACTTGGCTGCATTTTAGCATTTTGCCACGCCCCTGCTAGAACCCTCTCATTACCAAATATTGTTGAGTGGCATAAACTGGAGTGAAATCACTCGCTCATAGGAATTTCGATATATTGGCAAGAGGAATCCATGATAGAAAACAAAAATTTCTGCCAATCTTGGTCAAAATTGGAGATAACAATGTAGTAGAGAATGGTTAGTGTGCACCTATATACAGGCACAGGGCCATTTTGACTTGTTTCCACTGAAGTAAGTTTGGTACGGCTGGGAATGGAATCCATGAGCCTGAGTCTAGCAGAAATATTAACGAGAACAGACAATGGTGCCAAGGAAAGTATGATGTTACTAGAATTGTAACACGAATGTGAAGAAAGCAAAATTGACAAAACGATACCATGCCATCGGCAGGGACAGACCCTGCAGCCTTCAAATAACGCTACCGCTGACCTATAACTCAGCTACTACAGCGGTCATTCCTCTGTTCACTTTATAGGGTATGTATGTGCATTTTAAATGTGGGAGCATCAGTAAGCGCCGGCAAGTTGTCTTTTTGTCCACTATTCTTTCTTCACATTTACATTATAGTTACTTTTAATAAGATCCCCTGTACTTTCCTTGGCGTCATTGTCTGTTGGTTCTCATTTATTTCAAAGATTTTAGCAGTGCATATCAACTGACTTCATTTGCAAAATTTTTTGAATAGCCGAACATGGCCCTTTTTGAAAAAGATTATCAAAGTAATGAGAACCGAGCAAAATGTCTCAACTTGAATGCCTCTTATCGATTTGGTCACTTTACCATAATTAATATGGAAATAAAATTTTCACAAAACTGACATCTCATATAAAACACATTGGGACCAACATCGTCACATGACAATGAAGAGGAAGCTACTGGGATCGAGCATATGCAATCTGTTAAAGCAGATACTGCATCAATGCAGCTACTCCTGACACTTCAGACAAAGCAGCTACTCCTGACACTTCAGACAACTTTTCCATTACACCAGATTTCTGTTTAAGGGAAGATGCTACTCAAAGACACTTTTTCTTTAATATTCACCCTAGAGCCATGAAACTTGAGCTGGATATGAAACTTTTTATGCTTACTTCAAATATATAATTAGTTTTCTTGCAAGTTACACACTTTTAGCTCTGCAACATGACAAAGTGAAAACCTTAATCCTTTTGCCCCCCCCCCCCTCTTTTCATCCCTAAAATTCTGTAATTTTTTACCATTCATAGTTAATAAAACTTCAAACAAAGTGCAGAGTGCAAATAATGAATTAGGAAGCACATACAAAATATGTAATGCGCGTGAAAATAATAGACGTAAAAAGTCTATATTTCACCTACCCTAGTAAAGGTATACATACAATTTTTTTATTATACAATAAAATATTGAACTTTAAACTAGATAATTGCATTTGTCATACTTTGGAAAAATTTTGGGCGAAATTTCCTGCAGATACGAGCACTAGAAGTGCCCGAAAAAGGAGGGGCACATTGGAAAAAATGACAAAATTTGTGTTTTGAGAAAAACGAGTTTTAAAGTTAAAATTGCATTTTGATTTATAAAAGATATTCTTAAATCAGAAGAAATTTGCACCCCAAAAAGAACAATTCTTCTTGTAGTGGCCACTGCGACTAAAATACGCCAGCACCATGAGTTTGTCCCTCTCGGCGTTTTCGAGCCGACTCCTCACAGACATTTCCCTCACAGACAGGGCCATGAAACGCTTGCCAAACTTCCGCACCATCTGATAGAGCCTTGTGCCAACTGCAAGCTAGGAAGAAGTTTGACAAGAGTGCGAAATCCCAACTAAGTCCAGTGTCATGCCATTCTGCAGCCATGTTTGTGCCACATAACGTCGTACATAATGGCAATGTAGTCCCTGCTAAGTTCTCTCACTGCGAGCTCTTTCGACCTCTCAAGATTGGCACTGACGTCATCCATTGCCGCATCACAAACTTTCCGGCTGACGGGTGTGAATGACTTTGATGCATTGATTTTTGCAAGCCAACAACTGCCGCAAATTGCACCAGCTGCTCGTAGCCTATTCCTACACAGCGCGCCGCACAACTGCTTTCACTTGTGAGCAATGCCTTTTTTCATTCATAACGAAGATAATTACACGAGAAAAGCATTGTTCAGCTGCACTGCTCGAGAAGACATGGACCCCGCAAACAGGTTTCGCAGCACATACAGGTGCGCAGCGGCCAATGGCGGTCCCCGATTCGTACCATGTAATAAGCCAGTCGCGGCGCTTGAAAAACGCACAGAAGAGTGATTCTTGTTATTATTTCTTGCGCTGCATCAACGAGAGAAACTGTTGTTATTTGAAGAGTGAGGCTGGACTCTTCGACTCATGCGATCAACAATGGCTAGCGGCGATGCAATATCGGCGGCAAGGTGCTCGAAGACTGCACACTTTCGACCTTTTAACAGGCACTTTGTGCTCTTTAGATGAAATTTTAAAGCATTTCCAGTTAAGTCTCGACCTTTATTATTTTTTCAGAACAGTAGAAGTACCAATCTTATCAAAACAGGCAAAAATAAAAAATCGGTAATTTTGAAAAAAACTCGCATTTTCCGACCCTGCATCACCCCTTAGCTTTTGTAGGCTCCCCTATATTTTTGATGCAGTGATATAAAAAAATGGCTGTGGTATAATGACATAACCTACAAAGAAATAATACGAAAGAAGTTTCATCAAAATCAAACAGTAGTTTACTGAAGAGATGTGGGACATGTCTGTCCCACTGGTTCGTGAGAGCGTTTATAAAAAGTGGGAAAACACTGTCTCACTGCCTCATAAAGGCACCGTGTCGCGATTGCTTCAGCGAGTATTTGGGATGAAACAGACGAAGCAAGTGGCGCAGAACATCACGAAGAGAAAAACTGTGTGAATCTTATTTTAGCAAGAGCGCACTACCAGCAGTTGCGCCTCTTGTGAGCCTTCACAGCCCTCTGTTCTGTTCCTGCAAAGCTTACGTCACCACAAGCACAAGCCGTTCTTTTCTACTTATTTGAATGACCTTACTTTTGCTGTCGAAACTGTCTAGCACAGCTATTGTCCCTGGATATGTGCGTACTTTTCAAAAGGACATAAATAAAAATATTTTTATGTACTCATATCTGCAATTACTTATACAATCTGCATTTGCACTGACGGATGACCGGGGCAATTTCACAGGGGATTGCTCAGATGCATTTATCGATTAAGTTATTAAATAAATTTACAAACACCCATGATGACTAGAAGCTAAAATGACCTCTCAGGAAAACCATAAAAAGAGGAAATTATTCACCATTCTGATTGGTAGGTTCTATCTATCTGAAGAAAAGGAAAATTCAAAAGCTATCATAAAAATTCATCAAACTTCAATGCCATCATAACTCTTCTTCTGCCCTTCAAAAGCATGGTAAAAAGATTTTCCTCAACACTTGGCAAGACTTAATAATATACGGGTGACTAAATGACTTGGCGCTGCATTAACTATGACGTGTGATGCGGCAGAAAATTTACAGGCGGTTTACAAACAGAAAATTAGCACGTGCGTCCCACTCTCACATAAATAAAAACAGCAAAGCAAAAAAAAGAAAGGTTTAACAATGACAAGTGCTGTAGTAGGGAAGAAGTTTTTCTTTCATTTAGCATAAACAAATGCAAATACATTAGCGAAACTTTGCACCTATGTACCAAAGTGCATTGCTCTGACTCCGTACCTTCGCCTTTGTTGCCATAAAAAATTGTCCACGAGTTAAAGGCCTGAAACACTTTTTCAAGTCATCATCGAATGAACTCAGTATTAGGGTTTACTGCCTCAATAATCGATTGCAGCAAAATTTCTTTGAATCCATGAAGTATGAGCGGAGTTACAAGTGTTAGTTGTATGGCGGAGACGGTTCCTTTCTTTTATGATAAGCATGCTAGAAGTTACAGAGAGAAGGATGACAGAGGATCAAAAAGCTATGTCAGTACGCATGATGAAACATGTGTGTTCACTCCCACTTCAATTCCTGTACGTGCTAGCATTGCTATTGTGTAATCGCAGCTCACTATAAAGCGCTGTGCCGATACCCTATAGCAAGAACCATATTTCATTAAAATGTCCCTCTTGGTTAATGCTGGCCATCGGCCAAAAGTAGCAATCCGTTCAATGATGAAACAGAGTTGTTGCAAGCAGCTCAAGAGAGAGTAAAGGCAGGCTTCTGTATGAAGGAGGGCACTTGGCAAAGTGGCAACTTTGCACCGAGCTAGTAGTCTCTTAGCTGCACACAACTGCAAAATTCGGCTGAGCTGTTTACAGCAGTGTCTACTTACTGCTCTATGTGTTTCTTCACCAAGCACAGGGGATGATTCAGGACTTTTTTAGGGTGCTGTCCAAAATTTCAGAACAGTTCCACTGAGACTACACACAAAACATGAATAAGAGCACCTGGTCTGTTAATAATCTTCTGCAGCTGGTCAGGAAATCCAAAAGCCAGTGCACCATTTCACAAGGACCACAGAAAGGTTCACATCAGTGTCTACTTACAAGTGCTGTGTAATATGCAGCCCGTGCAGGAGGTTAGGCCTGAAAACATCTTGGCTGCCTTGTCCAGGCAGCCAGCATTCATGGCATTCAGGGCGAGGAACATCCGTGCCTCCTGCTGGATCTGTTTCAACTCCTGCATGCTGTTCAAAGCATAGCTACCTGGCACGCAGAACAGACGGCCTGATGGCATCACTGGATTCAAGGTGATGCAGCGTGATTCAATCTTGGAGAGCACAGCCTCCCAGTAGTGTTTTGCTTGATTTTCAAAGGCCTTCGCTTCTTCCTCCAGGCCGTCAGCACAACTGAGTGAAGACTGGATGCCAAAAACCAAGAAAACGTCCTTGTTACCAAAAGGGAGCTCTTCATCCGCTTTCAGTAAGCACTCACAACAGCATCAGTACAATGAATGCTTACTGACTTAATGACAGTTTTATTGCAAATTACAGCACACATTACATCCCATGAAAAAAGTAAAGAGAAAGAGAAGGATTAGACAAATAATAGCTAACTATTGAGCGAGAAAGCCTAAAAGGGCCAGTCAACAGGCTTTGACGTTTTTTTACACTTCTCCACCCCCCCCTCCCGACCCCCAGATCCAATGAAGCTCAGCAATTCGTAGAGTAGGCTACAGCGATCATGTTTTGCGAATATTACAGCACTGCAGACACGCAGAGCCTCCATTTCGAAAAACAATTCTCAAGCTCCTTCCCTACGCCTAACCAATCATCCTTTCACAAGCTGTGATGCAAGGTCGCCGAATCAGTGACTTAACGTAGCTTGCAACTCGTCCATTGGTCTAAACCAGTCCCGACGACAAGCTACACCTTCCCCTTCCTGTGAGGGAGAAGGGTGGCGAGGCTGCGCGAAAATTTGAAACCAGCTGGAACTGATATTATATCCTCTGCAAGTTCCTTAATATAGCACGCATTCCCAAAATTTTTGCGGCAGCATGTTCATAAAGCCGAAGTGCACATATTTCTCGTGATAATTATTTTTAGACCTTAGGGTTGTTGACTATACCTTTAAATGGCAAACTTTCAGAATTTGGCCAGAAAATATTGTTATACTGGTCCAGAAACAGCGCAAACTCTTAAGGTTTCAAATAGCTTTTATCACAACCTGGAATCACTCAAACCATAAAAATTAGTATGACAATTCTGCCATTATGGCTTGCAGGTGGTACATTCATTTATCAGGACATTCACAATGTTACTGCTGCTGCTGCGGAGATATCAGCACGCACCTTCTTGGAGAAAGTCCTAGCCAGGTGAACAACTAGAATAAGGTCCATGCCATGATTTCCTATTGCCCGAACAACTTCCAGCCCTCTCTGCATTATGCACCTGAGATCAACCTTCTTGCTCCTGCACGACGAACAGCAATTAAAACACATGTAGAAGAATTGTAAAGCCAATTGCGTGACAATTAAAGAGACAGGGTAAGCAAAAATATTGAAAAAGAATCATTTTTCACTTTCGCATTATTTGAAATCTTGAACCTTTTCTGAACCAGACTCAGTCATTTGTATGTCTTAGTACAATTTTTTTCTCTAAAAATGACATCTTTCAAAACTTGTGCGACGGCCTGCCATGCCCCTACACTTATGTAGCAGGGGATCCCTTGAAGTTCAAGCATCATAGCCATGTGGAGAAGTTACAGTTTGCAAGCTGAAGAGCATTTGGCACATCCAAAAAAGAAAAATGGCCAGAACTGCAAAAACGAAAGAAAGCAGAGGCATAAAGCTTTTGGTCGGGAAATCTATGTCTGGTCGGGGACATCTTAGTGGTGTCATCATTGGCAAGCACCAAAACTACTATCGTTGGGCCATTAAAAGAAATAGAGCCAGCTTGGGAGGACATGTGAAAAGCTGTCCTGTCCAAATATTTTCACATGGCATCAAAGGATACCAACAAATCCCACACCCTTTGCTTGAAAGACACCAAAACATGGTGTAAGTTCAACAAAGTCCAGTTGAATTGTGAACCATTCGTTTATGTTCACATCTTCCAGCATCCGTTAGGCCAAAGGCCGTTAGGCCAAAGTATCTAGAACTAGCTGATGCAGAATTACGAATCATTTTAGAATTTCGGCAGGACACTGCGCATTTTTGAACTGCGTCGACAGTACTGTGCTGATCACACACAGCAGGCGACAAATGAGGCTCACCAGGCGGGACGTTTCAACACAAAAAGAAATAATGATATTGGTGATGAGTATAAGGCTGGTGCTTATTGAACGGGTCTATCAGTTTGCCGTTGTCTTGTTGTACTTTTGAAATAATGCAGATTATCAACTTGAAATGCGACTATCTCAAAACATTTACTTATGTTACTTTTTGTACAGAATCTAGAATCATAGTTTCCCCTAGTACTTATATAACATGATAAAGAATGAACAAGGGATCCGTACGGGTCCCGAAACGTCATTGTTTTGTTTGACATTGGTCAGTGACCTGTTTTATTCAACAATGCCTTTAGCTGACCAGACGGCATTCCGTCGAACTCTCGACTACATGAGAGAGAATATACATGAAGCAGGATTATTGTTCTGTGAGGAAGTGTTCTTCTGCAACATGACATCTAATAGCTATTATCGAGTAATAATTAAGCACCTAAAGTAACAAATTTTTAAAAAATGAGCAGTACAATTTTCAGCGCTAAATCTGCTTCAATAAGAGAAATGGCTCATGATCACAATAATAGTAAAGTAATTACTCCAGCTCTTATGATTAGAGAGGAAAAGGTACATAAACTTTCCCTAAAATAGATGGCCAGTGTAGGGAGGCTTGAAACACTTCCAGTGTGAGTGGCATTATTTAGCTTAATGCCAAAGTTCAGCCAGGCATGACATGCAAAAAACGTGAGATCAAAATTAAAGCTGACAATAGGCAAGCCTTGTTGTGACTGTAATCATCATTGAAGTTCTTCCGGCGGCTGTGAACCCGATGAAAAGTTTTAGGCAGCATTCCAAGCAACAGTGTGCGGTTGAGATGGGCCGATTTCCTCTCTGTCAAGTGTGGTAGGGTGTCCTCAGACCACCTATCAAATGGACAATCACACAATCTTTCTAGCTGACCTTGCTTAGAAATCAAAAATTGTTATCTAATCTGATATTTTATGATCGCTTGTCTCAAAGCATTAAGGCAGTCGTTTGACTTGGAGATTCAACTCTTTGAAAGCCACCATCTAATGAAATGTGGGGGCATTGTTATGAACAGCAGTACGAGGCACTGTTCTTTGAACCACACTACATTTATCAGTAGCGAGCAATGCTTTCCGTTTGATAACGCTAAGTGAAAATTGAGCGGCAGGAAAACAGCATAACAGCTTTCAGGATTGCTAATGGACAAATATTGTTTATAACAGTTTTGAAGTCTGCAGTGCATGCAACAAACTTTCCTCCCCACAAGAAGGATGTACCCTTATGTAATGACCATGCCCTAGCAAGACGCATACTCACAAGGCATGCCTGGCATTTGTGTGGTATGCAGCCCTCCACCAGCGAGCCTGAGGGCCTGTGCACAGCTGCATCCCTACGTGAGGTGGGAGTGCCAGGGGCCCCTGGCCGGGACGAAAGGCCTTGCGCTTCAGAGCTTCGCTCGCACAATAGCAGGTTGCTTCCAGAAATGCCAGCACGTCAACTTGACTCAATGTTTCGACAGCCCCAGACCTGAATGATGGTGGCTCCAATGGGAGGGCTTCGAACACTTGCACCTGAAGAGTGGATAAATGCAAATTGGCTCAGAGGCCACTGCCCTGTTAGGAAGAATGATGGAACGTGCTTTGCTGCGCACCTCAAAGGGCTGCCCGGTCTCCCCGCACTTTTTGTCCTGCAGAGAACTCCACTGGAGCTTCAACCAGACTAGATGGTCAAGAGACGCAGCATGCAACCGCTGTGACTCTGCAGAGGGATACAGAGGGTAAACAAGCAGGAGCGCCAGACAATGCTTTTGCAGATTGTCACCCACTTTGCATGCCCCTCAATACAGAATACAAACATATTGATAATTGAAAAAAGCCACGTTTCACTATCTAAACATTGTTGTAGTAAAGCAGAGCATGAAATGAACATGCGAAAGTTTTAAACAGGCATCTCTAATCTTGCCACAGGGGATTCGTACAGAAACTGCCACAAAAAACTCTACTTGATGAACTCGGCTGAATCATAATTGTTGGTAACGTCTCAAAACGAAGACTGCAGCAGACTGCAGCAGCGTTGTACGCATTTTGCTCGCCAGTATATCCATTGTGTATACTTTATTCCCCGTAACAATATGATTACGAGAGACACTCAGTTGTTTTCAAGAGGAGATGCAAGCAAATAAATGCAAGTTTTCTTCTAAAATTATACATTTTTCATTTCTATTTACTTTCACAGGTTTGGTTTTTCTACTATCACAAAAACAACAAAAAAAGAAGATTGTAATCAAATTCAAAGTAGGTTAAAATCGTTTTAAAGAGCACAAGGCGGCTATCAAAAACTAAATAGAGCTCTTTGTCTACAGTACCCTGGTAATTGTCACCTGGCTGCTTGCCACTGCATATTGTATGAGCAGTTCACTAAAGCCATATGATCAAAATAACAATAATTTACAAGCTCTCGTGATGGAAGAAATCATTTTGAAAACATATCTTTGCCACATAGATGAGTTTGACTTACACCTAGGCAGTGTGTTTTTGTAATCTATCTTTGGGCAACTTATTGAGTTTAGAAACTGTGTTTTTGGTACTTTTGATAGCTTATATCGGGATGTAAGTTTGCCCATATTTTCCTTAACATGTGAAAAGCACAAGTATCTCTTTTAAAGCTCGATATTGCTTGTATAATTATTACGACCCTAAAGCAAGGAATTAGTATGGGCTGAAGATTCTAAGGATCCTTACATTACATTTTTCTTGTCTGTTAAAATGTTTCACATGCACTTTCTTGATAGTTAATTGCATTCTACAGTTAATGTGAAACATTCAGAAACATATAAGTTTAATGGCATAAAAATTTTATCCAGAACGAATTATATTTTACAATTTGTCATTGCACAAAACTAAAACTATACAACTTACTATAAAACTAAATACATATTTTAAATCAGCATAAAATACTCTATATAAAGCAAAAAATTTTATTGCACTAAGCTACAGATAAACGAAACTTTTTTTTTTTTTTGAATTGCGTCTCCCCTTAAGGGGGTGGTGCCACCATTTTTGTCGCTTGCGCGTTCATTGCTGCAAGCACTTCTCATAGCTCCAAGAAGCATGATACACACACTAAGATTCATTTATTCTTGCTAAATACATTGATATCACTTTTTCTATGAGACAGTTTTCGATTTCGGTTTTTGGGTCCTGAATTGGGCTGTGATTGAATTGAATTTGAATTGAGTTATATTGACAGGTAAATAGTTTACAATATACAACAGTGTAAAAAATGAATCTGAATCCCAAGCCAAAGGCTAGTTGGAATTCATTAAAAAAAAAGTAATTTAGAAAAAGGCATGTCATTTACCTGCAAAAAAAATAGATTACAAACAGAAATATTTTACTAAAATTCCAATATATGGAAAACTGTTTATAACGGGATGTATTTACAGGGTTTGGCGAATGATCATAGACGCAGGCAGAAAAAGAAAAGAGGAAACAATAATAATAATAAAAACAAAAATGTGCCAGGCATTGTTTGAGAAGAGCATATTGAACTGTAAAGCAATAAATGAACATATAAAAAAGTATTAGTAACATAGGGACACTATGAAAACTAATCATGACATACGTATCTGAAAAGCATAACAATACCGAGTAAGGACAAAAAGAAGATAAATTGTAATGCATATATACATAATTGCAAATCAGCAAGTACATAAGAAAATGTAATAGCATGCAACATATCTTTAGTTGGGAATGTATTCAGTATGGCTATTTCTAGCATTGAAAAGTAGGGTGTCTATATGTTACTTAATAAATATTTTTTCAGTGCAAGACAGAAATTCTTGTTCTGTATTATTTCTTGTGAAATGAGATTCCACACGGTGATTCTATTAGCTGTAAGTTTTCTGTTACCGTTTACATTCTTTTTTTGGTTCTTTGGTTGATGTGGAAGTGTAGCTTGGTCACGTGGCCACACAAGGATGTGACGCACGTCGTGCTGACTATTGTCTGCTCTCGCTGACTTTCTCGCACACACGTCCCGCACAAGCACCTACAAAACAAACGTGTAGCAGCCATGACGCTTTGCAGGACCCATAGGTGACTCACTACAATAAGTGTGCACACAGGAGGGGGGGTAAGCGGGTGACCACTCCCATTGTCACCTATGAGGGGGTTGTGCAAACACAGTCCCCCACATTGACATAATAGGGAGGGGGTGCGAAGTCCAACCCATGCACTGACATACGAGGGAGGGGGTGCGCTGCGATGATCTGTACATGAGCACGCCTACGCTCAGTACAGATCTTGTGTGACGTCCCTGCAACTTTCGTCTCCGATCCTACAGAGCTACAACAGTTCTGGACCCGCTTGCAACAGGGCTTCAGTTGGGAGAATGAACATTTAGGTACACTGTGGAGGTGAATTAATATATGTTCTAAATGTTTGCTGTGTCCAACCACTCATGTGGAGCGTCCTAGAATACAGAGAAAACCCACAAGAGGCTTGTTTCAGCCTTGAAATTTGATGGCACCACCCATTTAACTAAATTGTGGTTGTGTATGTGTATAATAACTCTCAATCTCCCTCTGTTGCCTTCTGGTTAACGAAGTGAAGGTATGCCAGAATCCTCGAGACTGGTTCAGGAGGGTGTTTGAGGTCAAAGTTTATGAACTACTGGACCTTCACCTATCATGAGAGTGATGGTCAGCACATACCACGAGCATACTGCTTCAAATATGCTGGCTTCAGTTATCCCACTTTGTACTACCTTTTGCCCAGGTTTTCAAGAAATCAAGGTTTCTTTATTAGACAAAATTAATTTAACCTGCACGCATACATTCTCATCGCCAATCACTGTTGTGATGCTACATAATTGAGCTACTGCACTTTCACAGTGAAAAAGCCACTTAAAACCCAAATAGCCAGAGTAAAAAAATGTAACACCCATGATAGCTCAACTTTCATGCTTGCAGCTCTTGTATATACCAGATTTACAAGCAGTATTTCTGTGCAAACGAAAACACACGCATGCTACTGCCACTAATTACTATGCTATTTTTTGGTTCAACACACCGCCACTATACCAATCTTGACTCTTCAGTGTAATACATGTAGATAGCTAAACTTCGAACTTCAACTAAAACAACAGTAAAGTGCTAACTGTATACACAAGATTCAAAATTTTGCCTGTGGTCGAAGGATCTGCACACCAGCATTGAATGAATTGTTACGACCGGCCCTAGGGAACCAAGCAAGAAGAGTTTGGGGGAGAACCGGTTCTTGACCGACGGGGTCGTCCACCCCCACCTCCTCATTCAGGCTCCTCCTCTCGCCGGGAGAACTCCGGAATCTGCTGTGCGTTCGTGACCATGTTTGGTAACATTTTAGGGCGCCGTGACCATATATGGACATCGTGTTAGGTTGTGCCACTCCATGTGTTGTGAGAGGTGTTTCCCCCTCCCTCGTGGCCGAGGTGCCGGGGACACCGTATTGGCTGACGATGCGGACAAGGCGCCCAGTGTCAACAACGTGGCGCTATAAAACGCCGAAGACGTTTTGTATCTCTCTCACTCTTCTCTCTTTGGGTCAGTTGACCACTTCTCCACATGTAAATAAATCTCTGTTGTTCGTTCGGGCGCTTCTTCTCGCTGAATTGTCGGACGATGGATCCTGCGACGGCGCCAGCTACCGAAAACGAGACCGGCAGGACCCGGAGTCCCAACAACTGGTGGCAGCGGTGGGATGCCGATAACCCCGAAAGCGACCACTGGACGGAGTGAGCCCGAAGTTCAACAACGGGACGACAGGAGAAGGATGACACGAGCTCATCGACTTCCAAAGGGAATCGAACGGCACTTCTGAGAGGCACGACGCCGGAGACATGACTGCGAACTGGGTGAGTGCCGGCTTTCTCTGTTAAATTTTACCAGGCATTTACTCTATGTGTTAAGTAAAAGCTGGTAGAGAGGGGCTGTCTTGGTCATTGGGTTAACAGGTAACTTGCGTCAGGCAGAAATTGTGTGATAGCTTGGTTAAGCTCTTTCTGTCAGTGGCGTCAAGGTTAACAGTGGCAGGGCAGGATTCGGTATAAGAGCTTTTGAAGCTTTATTTGTAGACTAAGTTAACGGAAAACTTGAGGCAAGGCAGGAACCTAGAGCTGTCGTTGCCGTCAAGGTTAATTAGTTGCAGGACAGGAATCTTTGTGGAACAGAGACAGCGGTACTGGAGGGAGCCATGAATCTGAAATCCCTGCGAAAGTCCATGTTGTTGCTACTTGCAAGGGAGTTGAATCTGGAGGTGTTGGACTCTCAAAGAAAGCCAGAGCTGATAGAGGCGATTCTCGCATTGGGGGCGGAGGATGACGAGCTGTCAGAATGTGTCGAGGAGATTCAGGAGAGGCAAGCGGCAGAGGCCGAAAGAAAGGTGGCCGCGGCCGAGGCCGCAAAAGCCGAGGCAGATAAGATGCGAAAGCACGAGCTTGAAATGAAGCGCCTCGAGCTAGAGATTAGCCATAATAGTAGAGCAGGAGGCAGCGAGGCATGCGGTACTGCAGAGCGGGTCAGGTTCAAAATGACGGACCTAATGAGATCGTACAAGCTAGGGGAGGACATTGGGCTGTTCCTCGTCAACTTTGAGAGAACTTGTGAAAGGCAAGGTTTCAGCCAGGATACATGGTCTCAACTCTTGTTGTCCCTACTTCCGGGGGAGGCCTCAGAAGTAATCGCGCGCCTCACGAAAGAGGAGGCTGACGAGTACAGT